CGGTGTCGGTTCTATCCCTGCCGCCTCCATCTCAGCTTGCTTCGCATGTATCTCGTCCAGACGGACTCGCACCCGGGCGGACTTCTCCTCGCGGCCCTCTCACTCGCGGCCCCTGGCCCTCTGGAGCCATTGGCTCGGCCCTCATCCCTTCGCTCGCGCATGGCACTACGGGCGGTAACTCCGCTGGAACGGGCTCCTCGATGACCGGACTCCTAGTCACGTGCGTGGATGATGGCAGGTCAGGGGGCGCCTCCATCCCCGCTCCCTCACACACTCCCTGATCCTCTGCCTCTGCCTCCTGCTCAGGCATGAGGGTGGCCGCAGGCGGGGACTCCGGAATCTCCTCGCTGCCCGACTCGGGAATCCCCTTTGGCCATGAACGCTGTGCTGGCCCTGGAACAGGGGAACATGGAGGGGTATTGTCTCCGACCGTGATCACCTCTCCAACCTGGGGTCGTACCGGATCCGGCCGCTCGGCTGCCATCTCAGGATCCTGTGGCTCCTCTCGGCCTCGCGTTTCTGTCTCTATCTCGGGGTCGAGGGGCTCCTCCAATGGCACGTAGCACGCCGGCTCAACTGAGCCGTCTCCCAGCCGTGAGGCCTCCCATTGTGATACATCAAGATGAGTCGCTAAACTTCGGAATGGCGTCCCTCTTGGTATGTCCAGCTCCTGCGTTGATGGCAGTGGCGAGGGCGGCCTCAACTCTTCACTCGTAATCCGCCGAAACTCAACCGCCCGGAGGCCACAGGCAGGGAATGACTCTTCTGCCAGTGCGGGCCCTGCGGGCTCATCCTCCCGCTGGGCTGGGCCTCCCCTCCTCTCTCTGGCCAGCCCCACCTCTCTCTGTGCCGGTTCCCTTGGCCTCTTGCTTCGTCGTCGTCTCTCAACCCTGGGCTCGTGCCTCTCATGCTGCGGCCGTCCGGACGCCCTCCTGAGCTGGGCCTGACAGTCCTCCCAGTCTCGAGCCCTCTCCTGAATCTGCTTGGCCACCTGCTTCTCTGCCCGCCTTGTCCAGATAAGTAGGGTCTGCGCCCATTTCTCCTACGCAACCCCCAGACTCAACATGCAGTGCTCATATGCAGGGATGAACTCATCTGCGTTCCCCTCCTCCAATCGAATGGGCATGCCGTCACGCCCCCTAGGGAAAGCTCTCAACCTCTGCATCCCGGCCTCCACGTCTGGCCAAGTCAGGGCCTCCTCACATATCTGAGCGACGGGCTCCTCGAACCGCCCTATACCCCTCAAGTGGTGAATTCTCTCCACCACTGACCACCCTCTCTGTGCCGCATGGTCCCGATATACGTCCAGGAAAAGCTCAATGTTGTCGTCATCGAACTCAGGCGTAGGCTCCCTCCTAGGCGGCTCATGCTGCTCGCCCCTTCCCTCCATCCTCTTGGGCCCCTGGCGTGGCCGTGTGTCCCTCACGCCCCTCTGCATGACTGCCTTCGATAAGTCAGACCTGCACAACAGGCGAGAGACAATAGACAGGCACACAGCAGGGTCAGCGACTGGGCCATTAGCCTAGGGGAATCCCACATACTCTTCACACCCATCCACCCCAATCATCCACCTATCCAAGCACCTGACTTGGGTAACGTCTAGGAGAGACTCTATTCCTAACGAGGTCTCATGGCCCCTTACCTATTCCCTGACCACGAACTTCTTTTGCCTTGTCCCTGATACCCAGTCCTGCCATCCTGCCCCGTCCAGCTCCTCAATTTGGTTGGCCGCAAACTCGCCACACTGCACAATCCTATAGGGTCCTAGCCACCGCTTGTCAAGTTTCCTAGACCACTGCTTCTCCAGCGAGGAATCGTACAGCAGCACCACGTCTCCAACCTTAAGCGGCTCCTTCCTTATTCGGGCCATCTGGTCCCACCTCATCTTATCTTCCATGCGACTTCTCTCCACCTGATCAGCGGCCTCCCGTAGCCTTTCTTCAGCGGCCCCCACTTGTCGCGCCCGTATGTCGAGCAGTTCTTCAAAGGATAGGTTCACTTCCAGATCCTGGCGCCTCCACGTCTTCATCAAACTTTCTATGGGGAAGGTGGCATGCCTTCCATACCATAGAGTAGCTCGCGCATACTTGGTAGTCCTTTTCACTGTAACATTTTCCACGAAGAAAGCTGCTCTCAGGAACTTCGGCCATTGGTTAGGCTTCCCCACTCCGTCCATTTAGCCAGGAGATTCGTGATGGTGCTATGCCCCCTCTCCACAGGTGCGTTCGCCTGGGGATGCGCGACAGTAGTATAGTTTGCTACCACGCCGTACCCTGCGAGCAAGATCCGCACCTCGTTACAAGTGAACTCCGACCCCCGGTCCATCACAAATTCTCTGACGAACGGATAGTGCAGGTAGTACTATTCGATGCACCTTGCTAAAACTGGGCCAATCTTTGTGCGAATAGCCCGACTGTCCACAAACCCAGTAAGGTTGTCCCGTGCATCGAAGATATAATTACTTTCATCCTCCCCGAGTGGCATGAACAAGAGGTCCAGGTGTACGACGACACCCACTTCCCTTTCTAGCCTGGGGTGTAAAGGCTCCCCAGATCTTTGCGCTGACCTCTGCTGACAAGGCACACATGACTGACAGTACTTGATGACCATAGTCAGCATTCTATCCCAATGGTATAACTCGCTTATCTTCGCACACGTGGCACTAACCCCTCTGTGCCCCCCTGCTATACCATCGTGTAGGGCTGCTATGACATCGATCTGTCGGTTCCTCCCACATATGATACTCTTGGGGTTCCCAGCCTGTCGCTTTATAAACAAATGGTTATCTCTCACCACGTAGAGATGCCTCTTCTTCTGGGCCTTAGCACTGGCGTCCCTATCCCTCATTTCGCATGACAGGAGTAACCCCAATTCTCTATAAATTCCGTCATACTCCTCAGCACGGAAGGCCTCCCTAATCTCTCCCTCTCTGGAATGATAAGTTCGTCCTCCTCGTCGTCCTGACTCTCAGGAATGAGAAGTTCGCCCTCCTCTGAGCTGGCTGCGCCCCTCTGGTCAAAGTTCCCCTGCAAGAGCGTGTTGGTGAGCAAGTACATTCCTCCCATTAGTTGTTCATGCTCCTCTACCTGGGTTGGGCCTTCCTCTATCGTCCTAACCTCCTCTGCTAGACTATGTGTCCCTGCCAATGCCGATCTCATCATCCAGCCAACATCCCTATTTTCCCATGGATCTTCTTCCTGGAAGGGTTTGAGGACCAACTCCTCTTCTGCTCGTACCCCCTTGGTGCTAGCCATATAGGATGCGTGACGCAGCTAGGCACCCTCAGCGACCACTCATTTATGTGGAGGCGGACGTCCTCCTCCTGGTCCAAGAACCCATCAACTGGCGGGGCATCCTCGATTGACCCTTGATTCGCCCCGTCCTAGTTGATACGGCTCAACCCATCTGCCCTATTCTTGTCCCCAGGAATCCTCTCCAACTCAAAGTTAAACATCCAAATGTAAGTCAACCACCTCGCGATGGTTGGGTCAGATGGAGTGTTACTTTTCAGGGAACACGCCAGCGCAGTAGGGTCCACCCTCAAAATGAGCCTTCTGCCAAAGATGTAATTCCGGAAGGTTCTTAGGCAATGGAGCACCGCCACCGTCTCCTTCTTGAACTGGGAGTAATTCCTCTCAGTCATATTGAGGGTGCGACTTTCAAATCTTAACGGCCTCTCCTTCCCATCAGCATCCGCCTGGATTAGGACCCCTCCTACAGCAGTTGGTCTGGCGTCCGTCTCAACAACAAATGGCTTCTCCTCCGTGGCCTCGTAATTCGGCGCTCCCAGCACCAAGCCTCCTTCCTTGAATTCTCTCTTCATCCTTTCCACCGCCTTTTCCTGGTCTTCGCCCCAGACCCACTCCTGATTCTGACGTACCAGCTTCCTCAAATGCTCCGTCTTGGTGGCGAAGTCCTTCAAAAAACTCCTCCAAAACCCGCAAGTCCCGAGGAAACTCCTTACGTTGTCGGGCGCATCGGTCCGGCACCGCACGGGGGCAGCGTGGGACCCTCCCGGCCGCGTCACGCAGGAGTTGGTTTTTAGA